ACTATGAGGTTGCTTTATCTGTTGGCCACCTAGCTTCTTTGTACAACTACGACATGAAACTCTTTGAAAAAGCTGAAGAATTGTACCTACAGTCTATAGAGATAGGTAATTGGTTTTTAGTAATCTGGATATTGTTCAGTTTAACAAAAGTAAGAGATAAATTCAACTTACTTACCTTAGGTTTTGCAGTTAATAGGTAGTTACTAGGTATGAAAATGGATTAAGGCTGTGGATATAAAATTAAAATATTTAATTATTTCATAATGTTTTTTTCTTCTGAGTCATTTTAAAGCTTGTTCTTTCATACTGGAATACCATGGAAGATGCCGTAGATTTTTGTCTCGACTTTAGGGTACGTAAGCAGCTGGTCAATGAAGAAAAAGTACTAATCTCTTACACGAGGCTTTTTGTATAAGGTGAAAAGCAGGACTAACGAAGCTGTTTGCACTGAAGTGTTTATGCCCTTACTGCTGTGTGAGGGGGGGGGGGGTAGTTCCACACACTGAACAGAAACCATACCAAATCCTCTTGCTTTTGTAATTTACATCCTCCTCCCACATTTCTTTTTAGTTGTCACTGTGTGATTGTGAACTTATGCGTAGAGGGCTTCATGGATTATTTTTTTTTCATATGTATATTACCCTACTAAGCAATAATAAATTTATATATATTTTTGTTGTCATTTTATAAAGATAAGCCATCAGAGCTGTATGCAAGGGTGGCTGGTTGGTGAACTGTTTAAATCATTTGTGTCCAAAAAAACTAGATTGGGTTACTAAGTAATCCTTCTTATTGTAAGCTTTGATGATAAGCAAAAGTGACATGATTAAATTATCTCTGACGGTAACTGAATAACATCACCGAGATTTTTTGTAACCTATAGTCTATGAATGCAAAATAAAGAGTTCCCATTAGCAGCTTGTTTTGATAGCCAGCTTTCTTGTAAGTCCACTATTTTTATCCATTATTGTATTACCAGCCAGAAATGTCTACCAAGACTAGTTTTCTTTTCCAGAACTGATTATACTTTTCAAGATGTATCACTTTATCGTAGGTCCTCTTCTGTTTTGAATCATAACATTCTCTGATGTTTAGCAGCTTCATTTGATAAACATCCAAAAGAAAACTATCTGTCTCTTATCTGCTCATGTTTATGATAGTACAAAAACACATCAGTAGCAACATCATTTACAAATCAAAGGAGCAATGGAAAGATTCCCAAGCTGAGCAACAAAATATGTGTTTATTATTTCTGATTCTGAATTGTTCTCCTCTTGTTGTTTTTATTATCATTAATGAGGTGTTGCTAATTTTAACTTTACTTTGAAGGTTTTTCACTGATAAAGTTATTTCTGTGCTGTTGTGTGATTATGTTTGGCTTTCTCTTCATTCTTCTGTATCTTGTTTTGTATCCAAGATATTATCTATTTATTCCTTGTGCTGAAGGAGTTAGCCATCTATGTAAATTTATAATGTGTAATATACAATTATAGGAGAGTGTAACGTGATATTATGGAACATCGAGTGATGGAGAGGAGTGGGAAGTGGCTGTTGGGTAAACATCAACTAACTGCTAAATATTTGAAAAAATAAGAAATGAGATAGATTTCTTTGAAAGATGGTTTACTTTGAAAAACTATTTTGGCAGAACTTCTGCAGTCTAACATGTGGAGACAAGAAAGTTGCTTTATTAAGACAGAATACATTTTTGAACTTTTAATACATTTAACACAAGATATCCTTAAATTTGTACTTACTTACTAAAAGTGAAACTTATTCATAGTTTAAATCTCTTCAACAAATATACTTGCATTTTCAACTGTGGAAGCATTATAATTTGACAGTCAATCTCTGTTTTTGTTAGTAAAAGAGTAGCCCAGAAGTAGGTGGTGTTAACTAGCTGCCTTTACTTTAATCTATTATTTCTAAACTAGAGAGAGCTAGCACAGATAACTTTTCGAGTATCTTTGCTTAAAATTCAACAAACAAACAACATGTGTACAAGACCTAAGCACAACAACATGGAACCTGTAATGCTTGTATTTGTACAAATGAGAGGAGGAATTTTATCAAAGCTACCAAGTGAGACTATGAGATTTTTTTGGAAATATCCAGTCACCTATATATATTTTACAGTATTAGTAAAAATGCAATTATTTGCATGGTTTTCTATACAAATTTATTAAGAAGTTTTTTACCTTAGCTTGTGGTAAATCAAGGTCATCTTTATATGTCTATGAATGCACATTTGTTTTAGCATAACTTTCCCGTGTTATTAATTTCCCTTGGCTTTCTAGGTCTGAAACTTTTTGGAGAGAGTTACAGTGGATTAGAATACGACTACCGTGGTTTACTACAGGTTTACACCTTTCTGGGTGAACCTCAGAAGTACATGAAGTACCAAGAGATTTTACAGAGGTGGAATGAGGTACGTAATCGAAGCACAGAGAGGGAGAAATACCAGTGTCCATTGTTACTACAGATTGAGGTAGTTTCTCCAGAAAATCTTTTTCCAGTGCTTCAATGTATAGAGTGATGCGTTAAGACTAGCAAGATACAGTTGGCTTGATCTTCTTTACAACTTGACGATCATCCGTTAGGAAGAACTCTTGTGACAGTATGGCAAAGTGTTTAAGGATTGGGAGCGCGTATATTTTATTTGTTATTTTCATCACGTTAACTCAGTATTTCATGTGATAAAAGATATTTACTAGTAATGCTCTATCACCTTGTACAAAGGTTTAACATTAATTAAGGAAGAACTCTCGTGACAGTATGGCAAAGTGTTTAAGGATTGGGAGTGTGTATATTTTATTTGTTATTTTCATCACGTTAACTCAGTATTTCATGTGATAAAAGATATTTACTGGTTGGAAATTTGTTATGTAGTAATGCTCTATCACCTTGTACAAAGGTTTAACTTTAATTGATTTTGAAACTTTGCTTATTAGTTGGGAAAGTAGTTTTGTTTTTTTAACTTCTGGTCAGAAAACGTTTTGTAATATATGTAGATAAAGCTCATAAGGAAGAATTCAGTATCTACTAGAATGAACATTTTATATTATTACAGTAACTTACATATTATCTTACTTACAAATGTAAGGTCGTTAATGCAAGTTGTATTTTTAACAGTACTCGGGTTTCTATTGTGTTAATTTGTCGATATCTTACAGTAGTTAAACAAGACTAAATCGATTAGTTCTTGAGATTGCGAGATGTTTCTAGCAGGAACTGGAAACAGGAATGCTAGCATTATGTTAAGTTTGCCAGAGGTTTGTCTGTCTAAGGTAAGGACTTTTAATACTTCCATACCTTTAGTAGCTCCTATAAAATCCATATATATATATACACATTTAAAACCTAACGTTAATTATGACTGAAAAAGTAAAGTTCAATACTTTACCTACCTTCTTAGCAGTCAGCTTTAATTTATTTAGTACCTATATAATGTAACGTGAAACTATATAGGCGAGTTGTTTGGGGTTTGACAAATGAGGATGGTTGATAAAACACAAAACATTTTATTTACAAGGTTCGAACGTTTCGGAATAACTTATTCCATCTTCAGCGAAATCTGAAAATTGTGTTACAAAGATGATTATTTCTAAAATTATAATGTAATAATATAATCATTAATTTAGTTAGTTATTAAGAAAAATGGCAAATGGATGGATGAAACAATGTATATATATATATATATATATACATATATATATATATATATATATATATATATATATATATA